AATTTGTTAAAATCTCAAAATTCTGACCTTTTCAAAAAAAATCTAAAAAAATATGACTTTTTCTAAAAAATATGACTTTTTCTAAAAAATATGACTTTTTTCTCAAAATCTCAAAAATTCTGATCAAAAAAATATTACTTTTTTTTTTTAAATCTCAAAAATATGACTTTTCTAAAAAATATAACTTTTCTAAAAAAATATTACTTTTTCTAAAAAATATTACTTTTTCTAAAAAATATAAAAAATATGACTTTTTCTACAAAATTCTCACTTTTTCTCAAAATCTGACTTTTTCTGAATACTTAAAATTGTTACTAATCCCTGGTCCCCGGCTTGAGCTTGAATCTCAGGATCCATGTATCTGTGATCCTCTCCAGAATGGAAGTAGTCATCACATACAGAGCATCAACTAGTTCCTGAACAGTGTCCTTCACATGCTGATATCCAAGAGAGGGAGTTCCACAGTCACAAGATGGAGGAATAGAAAGCAGTATTCAATGTTTACTTCAGATTAGCTCCACGTCAGAAATGATCATGCTTGTCATATGTCTCTCTCCATAGAGGCTGAATCATCATGTTAATCACATAGCTATCATATGCCTCAAACAGTCCTGATGCTCTTCTAGGTAATCACACATCCTGTCATGTTCACAGCTACAGTTGGGATACCTTTGTTACTCTCATATTGGAAGAGGACATTCACTATTTTCCCAGCATGTATTCTTGATTTTTACAGCACCTTCTCACCCACCTGCTGCTTTTTTAACCCCCACCCAGGTTGCCATCCCACGGAAAGCCCGCGGGGACATGAAGACCCACCTGGACCGTCCGCTGGTGGTCAACCCGCAGGACAACCGCAACAACAACACCAACAAAACACAACCGGGCGAACTACCTCTGGACCAGGAGTACCAACGCCAGGACATGGATCAATTCCACCGAGTCACCCATAATAACCGGCACCACCACCACCACCATCCGAAAGTCAACGGGTCTGAGAACGTGGAGACGACCCAGCCGGCGAAGACCCGGATGGAGCATGGATTCAGCTGCACGTCTCTAGGAAACGTTGAGGTTTGTAGGGTATTGAGTCAGGATTAGCTGAAAAGAGTCCAGAAAGCTTATTTACAAGTTAACAGCGTTTAATAAAACAATGATACGATGAAATTGCAAAAGGTCACAAGTTATTGGTTATTTAAACATTCCCTAATAATAGCATTACGGCGTCAATAAGTGAGGGTTAAAGACAGTGTGTTTAGTGTGCAACACCACGTGTCATTTCTCCTTCTATTCCCGTACAAAACATACTGTTAGCTACATGCTAACGGCTACAAACAACGTCCGGAAGTTGACGACATTGTCGACGCACTAAACTTCCGGTTTCAGGATAAAACAGTGTATTCATTTAAAGCCACATATATATTGATTTTCTTCCTTACAGGTTCAACCTGGGGAGGAAAGGCACGGACACAGGAGCCATCGAGGACATAGGCACCGAAACAGAGAGGCCCAAAGTGTGTCCCCCCACCACAGCGAGGGGGTCGAGGGGAACCACGAACACAGGAGGTCCCGGCACCGCAAGGGGGAAGAGGGCCGGAGACACAGATCTAAAGGGACGGAGGGAGAGGGGGAGAAAGGCGAGGAAGGGGAGGGAAGGAAAACGAGAAGGCATCGCCATAGCAACCATCACAACAGAAAGTGAGTGAAGGTTTATTTAAAAAGTCAAAGTCAACTTTATGGTCAATCTTTCAGTTTGTATGTTCGGACAGAGAGATCGAAATACCGTTTCCCACAATCCAGAATACAAAAGTACAAATATATATTAAAAAAATATATACCTATAAATATTTTTTGTTTTTGACAGCAGTATGCTTAATACATATTTAAAAGGAAACACATGTAAAACTTTTGTTGGTATAGTGCTTTATTTAGCTCAAATGTAGATGTATGACTATTAAGAGAGCAACATATGGGAACTCATTGTGTATGTTGTCATACTTTCTTTTCCATTTGGAGGAACGTCTGCACTCGTATTGCAAATGAAAGTAGAGTATTACACAAATTGAGACACAACATTCAAGTGTGACCTTGCACTGCTCCTCTGCCCCCTTTATTCCTTCTTCTTCTTCATCCCTTTTCCTTTTTACCCTTCTACTTAATCAGGGAGCACCACGGTCTCTCCACCACTCGACCCATTCAGCAGTACAACGAGGACCTGGACAACTTCCGCAACAACAGCAAGTTGGCCAGTGCCCAGGAGCATCCGTACGACCTTCCACCGGATCACCCTGACCACGTCAACAACCTGCTGAACTGCCGTGACGCCGACACCCACACGCTGCTGCACAGCATGGACAGCCTGATCCTCACCAGCATGGCCAAGCCAGAGTACACCAAGATAGACATGCCTCCTGTGTACCCTTACCCCTCCACCAACGCCATCCTGCAAGGTGAGCATCTGGCTGTGAACCAGGGTAGACTATCAAAGGTGCTTCAAGAATCCCTTGACGTTAAAAAAGTACGGTATTGGCCATATACAAATAACTAGATTCAAATTCAAAAGATTCAAATGTTTTATTGTCATATGCACATAAGCTACAGGGTAGAAATGGCAATGACATTCTTCTGACTTGAGCTCCTCCAACAATGCAACATATATAGTAAAATACAATATAGAAAGTGGTGCAAAAAGTCTATATACATGTCAATAGAATATACGATATGTACGAGAACAGAATATGAAATTCAATAATGTAAATTAATAAAAAATTAAATACAGTTTATTGCAGTTAAAAACAAACAGGACTGTTTATCGGGGCACTTAAAGGGGACCTATCATGCAAAATGCACTTTTGTACGTCTTTCCAGGGAACTCACCAAGTGTCAGAAAACACAACCCTCTCTATTTTCCTCCATACCCAAATCTCTTAAAAAGGGGCTGCAACGGATCTGATACAGACTGATCCAGATTTGAACACTTCTATGACGTCACAGAAGTGGCGCTACGGCTATTGGGCCAACTCCACCAATCAGGAGGAGACAGCCACGGACATTGCCGTTGGAAAGCGCTGGAGACGCTGTAGTACATATGCCAGGCCTGTAGATGGTGCTGTTCTCACAGAATCAGCCCATGATGCAAAGACAGTGTTAAATTAAGGAAATGTATAAATATGCCTTATATAGGTATGGTCCTACACTATATTATTCAAATATAGCATGATAGGTCCACTTTAAAGGGGACCTATCATGCAAAATGCACTTTTGTACGTCTTTTCTACATGAATATGTGTCCCCCGTGTGTCAGGGAACTCACCAAATGTCAGAAAACACAACCCTCTCTATTTTCCTCCATACCCAAATCTCTAAAAACGTGGCTGCAACGGATCTGATCCAGATTTGAAATATCTCTGACGTCAGAAACGAGGAGCTCCGCCTATATGGGCAACTCTCCACCTATCAGTGGAATGAGTGGTTGGGCCACGGCCGGCCATTGCCGCTCGAAAGCGCTGGAGACGCTGTAGTACATATGCCAGGCCTGTAGGTGGTGCTGTTCTCACATAATCAGCT